TCACTAAAGTCAAACTGCACATATAATGAACTGCTGAACTTGGCCCAGCAGACTTAATCATGTCGAGGAGCTTAACCATATCTTGTCCAGGAAAGTTGCCTGACTTCCCAGACGTCAGTGCAAAAACCAGTTCTGGGTTTTTAAGCAGCACGGCCAATAACTCGAGATCAGGTTCCAGGGTGCCGCTCTGGGCTGAGGATGTCGTGGCAGAAACTGCAGCAATCCGCCGTTCGTCAAGGGCATCTTGTGGTTCTGTGATATTTTCTTCGGGCGGCTGCTGAGACGGAATTTCGGGGGTCAAACTATCGTCATGGTCCATCTCCCTGTCCCATGGTTCCTTCGGGTTCAAGGGTATCTGCTGAAGAGACTGGTATATTGTTTCCTTTTCCCGTCGGTTCCGATTTCTCTGAACATCAACCTCTTTGCTGCTACCGCCAGCTGCCACTCTCCAGAGGTCATCAAGTTTTATTTCTGCAGGAAAAAAATGTGAAAAATGCTTGAATTAAAACCTATAAATGTCATTCATGTAGTAGAAAACAAATTTTACTCCTCCGCCATTCAGGTTTTACTCCTCCGCCATTATTGACTCAATAACTGCTTCAATGACTAAGGAATGGGAAGAAAATCAGACCGCTGCTCCACCCTATCTCCTACCTCACGCAGCCTCTAACATCAACAATTCCCTACAGATTCATTAGTGTAATCTAATACCGAGTAAGCTGAGATATCTTCACCATGCTCTGTCACTAAATAAGGCATTTTATCAAAGCAGTTTCTAACCGATGGTAGCAGTGTCAACTAAGGGTTTTGACCTCATTGGGAGACATCTCGTAGGCACAAAACTGAAACTCCAAGAAAAAGAGCTGACCAAGAGGCTACAATAATGAATAATACGTCAAGTCCAAGGGCGGTATTACCTGGTGGTACATGCCAAGCAATCTGAATTCTCTTGCAATTCTTCAGGATAGCCTGTGGATTCATTCTCAACTTTAAATCAGCCACTGCTTCTGGTTTGTTAGATATGTTCTGTGAAACTAAGGATGGTTTTTTGTAATCATCAGCTCTTTGAAAGAGATTGACAGCTGATGGATTAACAGGTTGAACAACCGAAGGTTCAATGGTGCCTCCAGTCTCTGCTTCATTGTTCTGATGGCTTGGAGAATCCTTAGCTGACTGAAGAGACAAGGGCCTCTCGGGAGTAGCAGCTTTTGTTTCGCCATTAGCACCTGGTGAAGAATCCTTTTTGCCATGCTTGCCCTGCATATAAAGAGCACGCATCTTCGCTTTTTGAATATCATCAGCAGACATAGGCCGGCTTTGATTTGTAGTGGATGTTCTTAGTGGCTGAGGACTCCTCCCGGCAGCTTTCTGGCCAGGTTGCTCCACCAACTGAACTTTCCTGCGTTCTCTGTTATCTGTTGCTAGCTAAGGAACCAAAAGGTTTGTGACATCTGATGTTGGGAAAGCTACAAAACTACAGCATGATCTCTGGAGCTAAAAATGCTCAGTGACTGCTAGGACGAAATATGTATTTAACAAGGTTTGGTTAAGTGAGAAGAAGGTAATATAGCATGAAGCACCGAATAGTTGATTCTTCTCTTGCTTTATTGAAAAAACATGAAAAAAATGTACCAATTAAATCGAGTTGAAGCTCCAATGAAGCAGCATAGTATAAGGATACAGGATGAAGATGGACCAAGCATGTGTTTCTTTGCAGAATCATCTGCAGACGGAAGCAACAGCTTTGGAGTCTGTGAAGATTCGAGCCTCCTGGGAAAAAAATATCAGCCAATAATAATGAAAACATCCAACCATTTTGTTGGAGCCTATATCGATGGTAGATTATAAGCAAATTGAAACCTGATTGTCTCTGAACTCCTATTCGAGGGATTCATAAATTCTTCCTGTTCCGACATAAAAAAATAGTTAAAAAAGATTGTCCATAGTCGACATAGCAAAACTTAGATTTGTGTTTTGAGTCGCTTACAATATTACTACCATCGCCCATGATTTCTTCGATACTGCACAATCAGACCAAATATCTATGAGAAAAATGTCACACTCACATCAAAGTTCATGGGAAATCAAAGAAATCCTAACAGGCATATAAATTAGAACTTGCCTCTGTTTCAGAAGCATCTGACTCTGCACATTAATATTTGAGTTGGTACGATTTTGTTTCTCCATAGCTTGGATTTTCGCAAATAACTTGGTCCATCTCGACAACAAAACTCTTGCCCTGTTTGATATGTCTGATCTTCAAATCAGATAAATGAGATCAAATATATCACAACAGTAACTATGACAACAATGATAACACTAAAGAGCATTTTAAGAGGACAACAATAGAAAACAAACTTTATATTCAAAACATTTATGATAAAAGAAAGAACATAACTGGGTCGATTTGTAAGAAATTACACCTGATATCCTGTAAAAACGGAGCCCATTGACACTTTGCAATATGGCTGACATGTTTTCGGGAGAAGCTTTATGAAGAGGTAAATGACAAAGCACCTGCAAGCCACTCAAACAATATACATATAACAATAGTTGGATGCTTTCACTAAAGTCAAACTGCACATATAATGAATGATATTTGTACCTTTAGGATAAGAAGTAAGACACTTGTTTGTTCTTCAGTAGCAGCTTGACTCAACCATGTTGTTAATATCATCACACCTCCTCTCAACAAAAACCTGTACATGCAAGCACATGAAAGGATCAAGCAGTAGACACAACGAAAAAGAAGAAACACCTAGCAAAAGATAAGAGCCAACTATACCATATCAGAACAGAGTTATTTTGTATCTGCAGAATCCACTCCATTAATTTAACTTGGCCAGAAAATGTCTCTTCTTTGCACATCAGAGGAAAAATATTCTCAACAAAGTGTTTATCTGAATCACTTATGCCAGACGGAATATCATTAGGTGACATAATTGCCAATGAATCACCACCATTATTGGTAGGACCTACAGAATTTAGAGGTACGGGGTCTAAAGATATAGCCAGAGCAGATGTTGAGGCAGAGTTCAAGGGCACAGGATCAATAGGCAGTATAGCGTTGGAGTTTTCTGGAACTCCATCTTGTTGTTCAGTATGTGTACTGGATCTGATGGCCTTCTCCCTTGAAAGCCTCGCCTGCCTCCTTACTCTTGTCTTTTGGCTGACAAAAAATTCTCGAACCTGCCATATAAGATACAACATAAGGCATCACTATCTTAAACACCCCCAATTTGCAACAAGGCCACAAAGACAATGACAAAAAGTCATCATATTTGGCTATCCAGAAAACGAGGAACATAGTAAAACTGACAAAGACAGAAAGAGTAATACCTGAGAGACAGTAATGCCAAATAGAGCACTTATCTCTCGAGATTCCTTCTTGCTAATAGCATCTTTAATTGAAAAAACTTCTTGCATATACTTAATTGCCTTCGGATTCAATAAGTCTCTTGGTCGTTTTCCTGAAGAATTGAAAATTAATAAGATGAATCTCATCAAGCGGAGCAACATTTTGGTATGGCTATTATTCATGGCCACCAATATTAGGAATGAATTGATACACCAACAACCATTTAACATATATAATCAAATCTTAATAAGAAAGCAGAGACAAATCAAATTCAGTGGCTATCCAAAAGAGTAAAGAGATAGTAAACAGGCGTGAACAACAGAGAGCAATAGGTTACTCTACCACGAATGTTAAATAAAATGCCAAACTTCATCTAAAAAGTTAGCCACTGAGTAAAGCTTTTCAGTTGTTTCATTCTCCATACTGAACTCTATAGCTTTTATCATCTAACATCCGCAATCTCATGTATGAAGAAGAGAGTGAAAACAACATTAAACATGTAAATGGATGGTGCAACACTTATCAAGACAATAATATGCATACTTATATAACATGTTATGGATCTTCAGAAGACTCACCGATTTTTATCGACAAAGCACCAGCAGCCTGCCAATGAGGAAAAAATCAATATTTTTTTAACAGAAGACTGATCTTAAAATTAAAAGTAGATGTAAGAAATGAGCAGGAAATACTTCAGCATATCAGCAGCTGAACCATAACCATAATAATACAACATACCACATCTAAGCATGGATTGAGAGAAGTAAAAATTCAGAAAACCGATTTCTTTCTAAGTTATGGCAGAACAAAAGACGCATTGCTCTCTGGTGACCCAGTAACAGGGTCATATGAACCAAAAGGCGAAAAAAATATCAAGAACCAATACCCAATCCTAGAAATGATACAAATTTTCCAGTCCTAGAATCAATATCGAGACCGCAATAATTTTCAATTCCCAGAGTTTTCTACTCAAAGCTTTATCATCTAAGGATATATAATAAACCAACATCATCACATAGAAAGCAAAAGCAGAAAATAACTCGGAATCAAAGTCGTCGGCGACCAAATATCACCAGAACAACAAATCCAAACGTATAATTGAAAACCCACCATTTCTTTCGCGAGGGGATTAACGCCGGTGAGCTTGCATTGTGTAACAACGAAATCTTGGAGCTGATCGACCTGGCTGTGGAAAAGCTCCCTCTGCGAATTCAATAGCCCCATCAACGACTCCGCCGAACTCCCGATTTCTATCTCCTCCTTGAACGCATCCATGGCCGCCGACCGAAAGCTCGAAAACCAAAACTTGCATTAGGGAATTCGTCTTCGTCAGGAAATCAGTAATTCGAACGCGAAAAAAACAGCAGAAATTGCCGGAGCATGACTGAAATTCGAAGCAGAAAGTAGGTTTAGGGTTCGGTTCTCCAACCAGAACAGAGAAAAATTGAGAGCGAAGACAATTTGGGGGCACAAATGTAAACAGCTGCTAAAGAATAAATATCAAAACGCGGCGTTTTGAGGTAATGTAGTCTGTTTATTAAATAAATAGATAACTTCGTTTATTTGGTTAATTAAATAAATATAACTCAGCACCTGAATTAAATATAAATTGGCTAAAATGAAAAAGGAAATTGTGGGGGAGAAGGAAATGGGTTCTTGATATCGTCGTTCCGACTTCACCGCCTTCTCAAGTCGGGGGTTCTCTCTTCCTTTCTTTTATGTTGGGGTTTTTTCCCCTGTGAACCTCGCGATCTCACAGCTCTTCCGGTCCTATCGAATCGGATTCGATGTCATCGTGGTATTAGGGTACGTGTTGATTAGGGTTTATGATCTTTACATTCTTTACATGTTCCGATGCTTATTCCCGTTTTGGTTGTGTTACACGGATTCTTCTGTTTTTTTTGTCTTGATTGGTGTTCGCGTATGTATTCTTAATTTTGGATTTGTGTGGGATCAAGATTCTTAGGGCTTCATCGGCTTCTTCAGGGTGCATTGTTACTGCCCAATTTGTAGTTGATCTTATTGATTGGTGTTTTTTTTTGGAGCTCTGCCTTGACGGGATTCTTCTCTCTTGGGGATTCGATTTGAAACATAGCTGTGGATAAAAAAAATCTTGTTATGTTTCTGGCAATTTGGTAGTGATACACTGATAGTGTGTGATAGCGTGATTTTTTAACCGATAATGTGGGGTTTCATGTGTTACTATAACCTCTAAAGAGCTGCATCTCTTGCGGTTTCCTTCATATTCTTGGAGACAGGTTTAGGAGAGCATAAAACATCATTCTTAAAGATGGAGCGTAAGACAATTGACTTGGAGCAAGGATGGGACTACATGCAGACTGGTATCACGAAGCTGAAAAGGATTCTGGAAGGACTGCCGGAGCCAGCTTTTGACTCCGAACAATATATGATGCTTTATACGTTGGTCTTTACTATATTTTGTTTATTGGTTGATAACATTTACTCGTTTGTAACTGGTACTGACCGTAGTGGATGTTCTATGTTTCACAGGACGATCTACAATATGTGTACTCAGAAACCTCCTCATGATTATTCACAGCAGCTTTATGACAAATATCGTGAAGCTTTTGAGGAATATATCAGTTCAACGGTGAGTCCTGTAACACTTTCTCTTTCGTAGAGTTCCTGTAGAGCTCCTTACCACCATTGCTTCTTGCGTGAACGTTGAGACTTTAGGTTGGAATTTATTTTTGAATTGTTTGTTAAGTGGAATAAACAATATACATTGTGTGGTTAGGTTTTACCTGCTCTCAGGGAGAAGCATGATGAATATATGCTGAGAGAGCTTGTTAAGAGATGGTCGAACCATAAAGTGATGGTTAGATGGTTATCCCGATTCTTCTACTATCTTGACCGTTACTTCATTGCCCGGAGGTCACTGCCACCATTGAATGAAGTTGGTTTAACATGCTTCCGTGACCTGGTTTGTTATACTGTCCTTTTGCTCCTAGTTATGCGCTGTATTAGGATAAGTTGCAATTTTTTTGTCTTTTTATTTTTGCTGCAGGTTTATAATGAGCTGCATTCCAAGGTCAAAATTGCGGTGATAGCACTTGTAAGTATGGTATTTTTAATGTAATTATATCTTACTTTGGCTTCTACCTGTCTCAACTTCTAACATAATATGTTTGGTACCAGATTGACAAAGAACGTGAGGGGGAGCAGATTGATAGGGCATTATTGAAAAACGTATTGGATATCTATGTTGAAATAGGAATGGGGCAGATGGATAGATATGAAGAGGACTTCGAAACCTACATGCTACAAGATAGTGCATCTTATTATTCTCGTAAAGCATCAAGCTGGATCCAGGAAGACTCATGCCCTGATTACATGCTAAAGGCATGGCCCTGAAAACTGTCCTGGATTGCATTTCATTTTCATTTGGAAAACATATTTAACAATCAGTACATTTATACTGCAGTCTGAAGAGTGCTTAAAGAAGGAGAGGGAGAGAGTGTCTAATTACCTTCACTCAAGTAGTGAGCCCAAAATGGTTGAGGTGGGTTATGATCATTATAATTTATCATGCTTTTATGATTGACAAATTAAAACATGGTGTACTGTAAGTACTCTAAAGAGTATGTTTTGTACTTGGTCGACATGTTCTGTTTTAAGCATTGATAGCTATTGACTTGTTTGTTTACCTATTAATGTAGAAAGTGCAACAAGAATTATTGGTGGTGTTTGCAACACAACTTCTAGAAAAAGAGCATTCAGGGTGCCGTGCATTGCTAAGAGATGACAAGGTATGCGTGCTTCTGTCGTTTGTTTTCTTAATTTATTAGTGCCTTTAATTCTTTATTTAATTTAGCATCTCAATTTGCTTTCAGGTGGATGATCTCTCCCGGATGTACAGGCTTTACCATAAAATTCCGCGAGGCTTGGAACCTGTTGCTAATATTTTCAAGCAGGTTTGTTCTATAGTTTCTACCTGCCTTTATCCTTTGTTTACAGTAACAGAGGGCTGTCCACCTCTTCCAGTTTTGCTTTGTAAGACATGTGTCACAATTGAACCCGGGACTTTGTAACAGCATGTCACTGGAGAGGGCAATGCCCTTGTACAACAGGCAGAAGATGCAGCTACGAATCAGGTTCATATTCTTTTCTTACTCTATCCCCCAAAGACTATCGGATTGACATATTTTAACTGCTCAATCAAAGCAGTATGCTTAAGTTATCCCCCTTCTATCTAATGAATTGGTGAAGATGTAAACCTGGGGCTGCGTTGGCTATTTAAATGTTATTTGATAGTATTCGTAGTTCCTTAAATAAAGGTTTTACAATTTACTGGATAGGCGTTCATTCTAACCAAAATTTTTATAAACCAACCCTCCATATGCACCCGTGTACGGTTGGGGTTTGCAAAATTAGATGGTCTACATTCTTTTGTGGTTTCTAAGGATTTTCCATTCCACAGGCTGCAAATACTACTGGCGTGCAGGAACAGGTAGACTTCCTAACCTGAATTTTTTAAACTGAACCTGATTTTCATGGGACCAAATTTTTTTCGAATTTAGTTATTCACTTTCTCTTTCGTGGTTCAGGTTCTTATCAGAAAAGTGATCGAACTGCATGATAAATACATGGTCTATGTCACTGAGTGTTTCCAGAACCACACCCTCTTTCATAAGGTCTGATTTACTTTTTCAAGCCCTTTCCATGTGTCTATCTTGTTGCTATACCTCTTACTTTATGACATGAATCTTTTTGTAGGCTTTGAAAGAAGCTTTTGAGATTTTCTGTAACAAAACAGTTGCTGGAAGTTCCAGTGCAGAATTACTTGCTACATTTTGTGATAATATCCTCAAGAAGGGAGGTAGTGAGAAGCTGAGTGACGAAGCCATTGAAGATACACTTGAGAAGGTAGTTATTTTAATATTGCTTTCATAGTTTATTTTCGTTTCTCCTGGTATTGGTGCTGAAATTTGTTTGTAATTTTGCAGGTTGTCAAGTTGCTTGCCTATATAAGTGACAAAGATCTTTTTGCTGAGTTTTACAGGTATCTCTGCTTCTGATCTTTGTTTTTCTTTAATGTTAGTTTATATTATTGTATTGGTGGGATGCCCCAAAATAGTATTGGAATAACTGACGATTTTTGTGTTGGGTTGCATTTTATCTGGTTCTTGCTGTCGTTGGCAGGAAGAAGCTAGCCCGCAGGCTCTTATTTGATCGTAGTGCTAATGATGATCACGAGAGAAGTATTCTTACAAAGCTCAAGCAACAATGTGGCGGGCAATTTACCTCTAAGATGGAAGGCATGGTGAGTTAGATGAGTTGCCTCCTGTATTTCTTCATATCTAATTGTTAGTTGGCCTGATTATGTATGCATTCTGTTCAATTAATATGCTTTTTACAGGTAACAGATCTGACGTTGGCAAGAGAAAACCAGAACAACTTTGAGGAGTATCTAGCCAACAACCCTTCTGCAAACCCAGGAATTGATTTGACAGTCACTGTCCTTACTACTGGTTTTTGGCCAAGTTACAAATCATTTGATATAAATCTTCCAAGCGAAATGGTAACCAATTTATTTTATTTTTTATCTTGGAAGGAAAATCTTCTCTATGATGATTTGACACATAAATCTTCCAGATCAAATGATGTAGGCTTTGGAAGATTTAATTCTCTTATTTATTTGTTTCAGGTTAAGTGTGTGGAAGTTTTTAAGGGTTTCTATGAAACAAAAACTAAACACAGGAAGCTTACTTGGATTTATTCTCTGGGAACTTGCCATATTAATGGAAAGTTTGATCAAAAGTCCATCGAGTTAATTGTGTCTACCTATCAGGTATCTTTTGGTCGGTTATTTGTTGTGGTTTGGATTTATGTTTTAGGAATTATTAATGGTTTTATCGGTACTTAGTTGCCACCTTATGTATTTCTTGGTGTGTAATGACATTTCTGTGTTTTATCTTTGCAGGCTGCTGTGCTTTTGCTTTTCAACACGTCGGACAGATTAAGTTACACTGAGATCATGAATCAACTGAACTTGAGCCATGAAGATCTGGTCAGGTTGCTGCATTCCTTATCGTGTGCAAAGTACAAGATCTTAACCAAGGAGCCGAGCACAAAAACTGTTTCCCAGACTGATGTCTTTGAATTCAATTCGAAATTCACCGACAGAATGAGGAGGATTAAGGTATGAAATAATGCAACACCCAAAATACCGTTCTCTTCCTTTTTTGTGGATTTTCCTGATACCGGAGAGTTGTATAACGGTGTGAATGTTTCTGAACTTGTTGTGAACGAAGATCCCGCTTCCACCTGTGGATGAGCGGAAGAAAGTGGTGGAAGACGTCGACAAAGACAGGCGATATGCCATCGATGCTGCCATTGTGAGGATCATGAAAAGCAGGAAGGTATTGGGACATCAGCAGTTGGTTTCTGAATGCGTTGAGCAGTTGAGCCGTATGTTCAAGGTACATTACATACATACATCTATATATATATATATACATACACACTTCATCCAGACTCTGCATTCATGGGTCGGGTTTAACTGGAAGACTTTTATCGATATATGGATTTGTGTTTGATAAAATTTCAGCCGGATATAAAGGCGATCAAGAAGAGGATGGAGGACTTGATAACCAGAGACTATCTGGAGAGGGACAAAGAGAACCCAAACACGTTTAGGTATTTGGCTTAAGACACACACACACACACACCATACACTCTTATATGTCATCACATCAACGGCTTTTGAAGGAGAGAAGGAGAGAGGTATGATTTGGGCCTTTGTGTATAATTTCCGAAGTTTATATCGTTTGTTTGAGGGTTTAAGACAGAATTTTCATTCTGGATGAGGATATGATTAAGAATGATGTTTGTTGATTCCTATATTGTCTTCTAATATATCATTTTTGAACATTCCTCGTGTTTATGCTATAGTGCCTTGCTCCGTGGGTGAGGTTTTCCAATTCCATTGATGGGTTTTGAAGGAAAGGGAAGAATGTAATTAATATTAGGTAAAATCGCCAAAGCCTGTATCCTTACAAAAAAAAAATTGTATTTTTTTATTATAAAAAAACTTTATACTTATATTTATATATATATATATATATATTTTTTGAGATATCAAATAAAAAAATATTGTATTTTTTTTATTATCAAACGAATTCTATATTTATATTTATTCACCAAAATATATACCTATAGCAAACTCAGTCTCGAACCTTGCGATTAGAACACTGCCAAACTTTTTTCCGGATCTGAAATCGAAAAATGAATCGAGGGAACTGGGAATTTAGCTAATCAGATGGCAGCTTGAATTGACGATTATACGCTGTTATTGCTTTTGGCTGGAAACGGCGTTTCAAACGCAAACGCAGCGTTTGTCGGATCTCTGCTGCTGATCTATGTTTTTAATATTTTCCGTTCCTTCTGGTTGGTGACGTGTATCCTTTGGTTTCCTCCCACTTTGAGAAGAGACAGAATATTCCTTATTGAATGGGCCACGCGATAATAGAAAGCAGCTGAGAAAGAATCACACAGACGGCAATAAAGCGAGAGGGCGATGAACTCAGTGTTCTCCATTGATGATTTCGCCGATCCATTTTGGGAGGCTCCGCCTCTGTCTCCGGACCCGCCTAAGGCGGTTACGGCGTCGGGGCTTAGCCGGAGCCAGTCGGAGTGGACGTTCGAGATGTTTCTCGAAGAGATGTCGTCGCCGATGAGCGCGGTTTCCGCATCTTCGGCGACCGGGAACGCGATCGGCGTCTCTTCGGGGCAGTCGGTGCCGTCTGTTTCGGGAACCGACGACGTTGAGGATGAGGGTCGCGTTCGGAATCGTGATTTGGAGAACAGGGACAGTCCCCTTCCCTCTGATCGTTCGCCGGCGGTTGTCGCTGATTCCGATGAGTGTCATCAAGTTCTCAAGAGCAAGCTCGAGACCGAGGGCGCCGCTGCTGTAGCTCTTGGGGTATTTTCCCTCTTTATCTCTACCTATATGTGTGTCTGTAAAGTGTGCGATTGGCATGCGAACGGCTAAATTTCTGGTACTGGTGCTATTTCGCAAGGTAGATATAGTGAATATGATATCACATAGTAAAGGCGGTGTCTTGCAAAAATTTGAGCAGGCTGCGTCCGTGAAGCCTGAAGATGCGAGTAGTTCTCCTGAAATCCAAATTCTGCCGGATCAGTCGGGACCCCGTGTACAAGGTGAGACCTTTACCTTTCCCTTTCTTCTGGCTCGTCTCTAGTTTCAACAATGGAGCAAGAAGAGAGAAACCTGTGCAACACTTGTTGATTCTTCTCCTCTTGTTATTGTGGTCTGCATTCGCAAATTGTGAGGCCAAGCAAGGAGTGTAGTGGGCATGGAAATGGATGGTGAAGATGGCATCGTTGTTTTATTGTAGCTGATTAATGGCATTTCCCTTCATTGTTACCCCACTGCTCACTAGTGTCCTAGAAGTTCCCGTCCTTCTTCTTGCTTTTTGCTCGAATTGTGTTTAAGAGTAACATCAGTATCTACCACTGTGGCATAATAACTTTGCGATTCTTATCTTTGTCTTTCAACTATCACTTCCAAGTTTCGGAGATAGTGTGTTTAGTCATAACCTTACTTTCTGAGTGGAAAAAAGTAGGTCTAGAGTTGAAGCAGGCGAGAAGTGGATCTTCAAGAGAATATTCTGATGATGATGATGAACTTGAAGGAGACACTGAAACCACTGGTCACTTGGGCCCGGAGGATGTAAAACGCGCTAGGAGGTATGTTTTTCTTCTCCCGTTTCTTTTCTTTCTATCCCCTTTGAAGGTTCTCTTGTGCTAATTGGAGCTTTCTTGTGTGACATCAACAACACAAATTTCTTTGGGTGCTTTTTTATTTTGTCGTGTATGTTTACTCACCTATGAAACATATTGTTCATTGTTGCTGAACTCCATAGTCGTCTTGAGTTTGAGTAGAAGGAAGATTCCTCTAATATCTCCTAGTAATACTATATTTGCTACTTTGATATCTATTGAAACTCGGTTCTGGAATGGAATCTTTCTAATTTTGTAGGATGTTGTCGAATAGAGAATCTGCTAGACGTTCCAGAAGGAGAAAACAGGAACAGATGAGTGAACTCGAAACACAGGTTTCTCTGCACTCAATGCCTGAAAAAGTCTTTCATCTCCTTATTTCCTGATGAGAGAAATGCTGAGACCTTCTTCTTTTCCTCACAGGTTAGTCAACTGAACGTTGAACATTCATCACTTCTCAAGCAACTCAGCGACGTGAATCACAAGTATGATGAAGCTGCTGTCGGCAATAGAATACTAAAAGCCGATATTGAGACATTACGAGCTAAGGTATGCACCACTTCTCTTTTCTATCCTTCAGCTTAGCTATCCTTATGTTTGTGCGATTACTGTACTCAAATCGAAGAATGTTCCTACGGCAGTTGAATGTTGTGTACAACCACAGCTGTTTCTTTCTAGTGACTTGAATCTCTTCCAAGGATTGTTTCTGAACTGTAACTTTTTTTTTACTCACTTCCTGAGAAGTGAAGTGGTGAGATTCAGAACCACAAACCTCTGATTTGGTAAGTTTCTGCTCCTCAATCTGATTTCCAGCAACAATCCGAAACCTTTATTGAACACCGAAACCGAAAACAACTTGGATGATCTTGATTTGAGAGAGGATCCCAACTCTTTACCCCATTAAAAACCCTACCCCTTTCTGAAAATTCTGCATAAACCATCCTTCTAACCTGTATTTATAGCTAAAAATTGCTGAAACTAACTATTAATCAACATATCCAAACACACACTACTATAGTCTAGATACAGTGAACCTATACAAAAAGCTAAACACAAACCTGTAAGCATTTATCATGATGAACCACCAACCTGGTGGTCCAAGTGAAACGGGTCGGTTGCGCTAGAGTATGGAGAATCAAAGAGATATTGTTTTGTAGATCTTATCTATGATGCTGCTAATATTTTCTTTGTGCCAAACCCTTATAAGTGAGCAGTAAAAATTTGCTGTTTGATGACTTGAAAATAACCACCATGGCATCTCTCTCCTGATGCAGGTGAAAATGGCGGAAGAAACAGTGAAAAGAGTGACAGGAATGAACCCTCTTCTTCTTCGAAGATCCAATGGACATAACAGTGTGATGCCGTTGGTCGGAAACAGGATGGAGACTTCTTGCATTGCCACCTTGCAAGCACATTCGAACCTCAACCACGTATCTAATGCCCAAGTTCCTGAAATCACACTTCCAGCTATTTTGCCTCCAAGACTGGACAACAATTTCGGCCGCCACAGCCAGGTTTCTCCGTTCTTGAACTCCCAAAGTACTTCCCCGGGCAAGATCTCATGTGGAGAGCTTCAGATACAGAAAATGGGGAGCGGGCAAAAACAGGTCGGTCCAACCGGCCATTTTGCTTCAGCCCCTAACCCATACAGACCAGTGCATGGTTGGAGTCATGAACCTACACACTCTGTTCCGAACAACGATTCATCATGAATCATTATTCTGTTCTTACCAATGCCTTTGTAAAGGTAAGCTAAATGCTTTAGTGGCATATAATGTGTGCGCAAGTTCCATGATGGGGTGTTTATAACTGCGACGTATCAGAATCTGAAGTGTAATCTATGGCCATTTCTTGTACAATCATCACACCATTCCTCGGTTACCCTCACGCGTTCGACTGGGCTACTAGATCCATATACTACTCTGCATGATTATTTCATCGATTACGCATGCATGGACCTATATATATATATATCTACCACTTGCCATAAAAACGAGATCTCGAAACGAAGCGTGCGCTCATCAAAGCCTCTTACGAGTGGTCAAATGCGATGAAAGTGCATCACGTAGCGGTGATCGAAGACACACAGAGCACGTAACCAAGGAACTGTGTCTTGACAAAAGTGGTTAGATCGTTAAGGTGGGGAGGGCCATTCCAGTAATTTCATAACAACACTTTCTCTCTCCCCCACGTCAGGGCTCCGGCGGGGCGAGGGGTCCGGAAAATCCCAAATGTTGCGGCCTCTGATATGGTGACGTTTCTTCGATACCGTACGGCGGAGGAAACTGGCCACACCTACGTATATACCTTTTGTATTAATAAAAAAACAGGATTTGAATAAGATTTTATTCAAACTCGGAAAAAAAAACAAAAAGAATCCTAACAAAAGCCCGAAAAACCCAACTCTAATTTATGATCTTTTTATAATATATATATATAAAAGAATGCAGACCAATGGGCCTTTTAGTCTTCGCAACATAGGCCCAATGGGCCGGAAATGAGGAGTGGGACCGAAGGAAACAAGTATGTATGTATCTAGCTTGCTCGCTTAATATCAAATTTTCTCTTGTTTTTATGTAAATTAAAAATTACAATTGACTAATTGCTTAATATGAAAGTCACGATTTTTTTCTTATGTAAATAACAATCTTTTTTTTAAGAAACAAAGCTAAGGTAGTTTTCACTTCCATGAGAACATGTGGCGGTGGTCAACAAACGTATAAATACAGAGAAAATACATACTTGCACGGTGGGTTTTCTTTTGCAGCTGTCTTAATTTCACGTCGATAGCCGAACCAGACGCCACTCTTAATCTCGACGTTGACGGAGATGCCGAGCGGTGGCGGCGGAGGCGGTGGGGGTGGCGGTGGGAATGGAAATCCACCGCCTTACAAACCCTACCGGCACCTGAAAACCCTAGAGGGTCACTCGGCGGCGATCTCTTGCGTGAAATTCTCCAACGACGGCACTCTTCTCGCTTCCTCCTCCGTCGACAAGACCATGATCCTTTGGTCGGCTTCGGATTACTCGCTTGTCCACCGGTACGAAGGCCACGCCAATGGGATCTCGGATCTCGCTTGGTCCTCCGATTCGCACTACATCTGCTCCGCCTCCGACGACTGCACTCTCCGCATCTGGGACGCGCGCGCTCCGTACGAGTGCCTCAAGGTGCTCAGAGGCCACACCAATTTCGTATTCTGCGTTAACTTCAACCCTCCGTCGAATCTCATCGTCTCGGGGTCATTCGACGAGACGATTCGGATCTGGGAGGTGAAGACGGGGAAGTGCCTTCGAGCGATTAGGGCTCATTCGATGCCGGTGTCGTGCGTGCACTTCAATCGGGATGGTTCGTTGATCGTGTCGGGTAGTCACGATGGTTCGTGCAAGATATGGGACGCGAAAGAAGGAACTTGCTTGAAGACTCTCATAGATGATAAGGTTCCTGCCGTCTCCTTCGCCAAATTCTCGCCCAACGGGAAATACATCCTCGTTGCCACTCTCGATAGCACTCTCGTAAGTTCAAATTCCCCAACTTTCAGTTTGGTTTTTGCTGAGATTTGATTCCTGTTCGGTGTTTGTACATCGATCTTATTGAATTTGGTATGAAACTGGATGGAGAATCAGGGTTTGATCATGCGGTTTCTGGTTTTGGTTCAGCTTGGAAAACATTGGTCTAGCCCTTGTAGTCCTAGGTGTGTTTTCACTAGGATCTTAGTCATGAACAGTAGATTAGAGAATTTGAGTTCAGTCAACTAGAACACATGTCTGAATCTGAAACAACGATCATTCTCTTTGTTCGAACTGCGAGGCTCAGCTCAGAGAGATTATCTCGAATCCCATAAACACATGTCTGAATCGACCATTCTCTTCTCTTGTATTGAACTCGAACATTTGTATGTTGATGATAAAAACAATGCAGAAGCTGTGGAACTACGCGTCGGGGAAGTTTCTGAAAGTGTACACAGGTCACACGAACAAGGTGTACTGCACCACGGCTGCATTCTCGGTGACAAACGGGAAGTACATTGTGAGCGGGTCGGAGGACAAGTGCGTATACCTGTGGGATTTGCAGCAGAAAACGATGATACAGAAACTACAAGGCCACAGAGACGTCGTGATCTCGGTGAGTTGCCATCCCGTTCAGAATGCAATCGCTTCTTGTGGCAACCACTCCGACAAAACTATCAGGATCTGGAAACAAGATCCTTGAGGTTCTCTACCTGTTACCCTTTGTGATCAGTTCTTTATGTACTGAACTTGTAAATGCTACAAGTTATGGAAGAAGAAGATAGTGCCAATATTAAATGGGAACATAAATATTATATTACATCTTTAAATCCATCATATTGTTTGTCTGTAAACAACAACAGAAAGAGAGACCCATCTTCTTACAAGTTACAAGTCATAAGGCTGTTTGCCAGTGAACTTGACTTCGATGGGACTGACATTTTTCCCGATCGATCTCATGTTCTGCCCAACCCCTTGTCTTCCCGGGTTAGCCTTCTCTGGGTAAACTCCGTCCTTGGGGTGAAGATACTGAACCTCTCCGTTGGGGAAAACCCTGTAGAACTGGTAATTGATCTTGTACTTTGACCTCAACCTCGTACCCAAAGCCAAACACTGCTCCTTCCTCGCCAGTTTCAGCAAGTTCGGTCCTTCCCTCATGATCGCCGCTCCCCCGGTGGGCATCTCAAAGATCTGTTCTTTCGGCGAGTTCCACGTGATGACGTAGAATTCCTCCACCTGGGCTTTCCGGAGAAGACCCCCCGTGCTCCCGGCAAAGATCGGTGACGGCGTGTTGGGATCCAGCTGCGGTGGAGTGAACCCCACCGGAGCTTCTTCCTTGGCCGCCGGTGCTGCGGCGGCGGCCGAGGATTCGGCTTTCTCGGCGCGGATGGAGGTTTTGGAGAAGGAGAGTGATTTGGGTCGGTGGGTGGAGGAGAAGAGAGGGAGCTTATTGCCGGCGGCGGCGGTGGTGATGGCGGGTCCGAAGATTCCGGCGGCTTGTGCTGCCATTTTTTTTTTCCTAACGTATGGAGATGAGAATGCTTTGGTACGTAGCTAGTTTATGATAATGGAGATGATATTTTGTGGTGGTGAGATCAGATTCGAAATGGAAGACGTTGGATTTGGATTTCCGGGATAAGGTTATGTTATTACTTCGACCAATGGGGGTACTTTGTTTTAATTCCGCTTTCACCCCTTAGCTAACCCAATCCGACGTCGTTTCGGATTCACCTTTGGCCAGCCCAGACCGACGTCGTTTCGGATAACACATGGTTCATACAGTCGCACTATTAATACGGTGTTATAAAATAGCCAAACGGGAAATCAGAATCACAACGGTGTCAGCGTTTACTATTTAGAGATCAAAGCTGGAAGATCAAAGAGTAAAACTCTCGTCTTGACGTTAGCTTTCATTCACTCGGAGAAGGCATGAGCCTAAGCCTCTCCTCCTCGGAAGAAGGCCGGCCGGAGAATCGCTCCTCAGCCAACAACGACTGTAAGTCGCTGCCGTTAGCTAAGCTGTTGAACTCGACGGCTTTGGAGGGCATGGTCGGGTACCGTCTCTGGCAAAAGGTCATCAGTCTTTTGATGGATTGGAGGTACTTACGTGTCGTCTCGTCGTTCATGATGTGGGCAACGCTGTTTGTGTAGATCTTCTCCCGAGCCGAACGCTCGTGTATACCAACCATGGTCACACCGATCGGCCATGGAGCGTTCCCGATGGCTAGCTTTATGTATTGGTCCATTGCCGCGAGGTAGTCTCGCTCCATGCAACGGTTGACCACTACCATTAGGGCTTGCCTGATGTCGTCTGGAAGGCCCTGTATATCAATTCAGACATAACTTAGTTTGGTCTATGTGTCGTGTTCTCCCATGTGTTAATTCAGACTAATGCCTTCTCCCTATCTCTAATACAAGCAAAGTCGTGTTACTTGCGCTCAGATCAGTTATTTCTATGTAGACTAAACTAATGCCTTCTCCCTATATCGTTCCTCGGCTTATAACCTCTTTCGTTCATTCAATAGACCCACCTAGAGATTCATCACCAGTTTCAATCGTAACCAATATATGGACAGCGTAGAATGCGTGCTTTCCTGTGTCGAAGTACCAGTTTTCGCCACCCTTCATAATCGACTGCTCAATCAAGATTTCGTTTATGAGCAGTCATTTCAGCTCCATGAACACAATTTCTAACAGAATTAATCAATTATCGATCACCTTTGGCACCTATCAGAACTCCATAGCAATACCCTACCATATAAAAGTTAACATATCTATTCTGCCAACTACCATATCTCAATTAGCAAAACGATGCGCCTTTAGGGTATAGGAAAGAGGAATAGAACAGAAAGACGAACTGAAACTCACCTTCTTCCTGCATAACTTGAATAGAGGATTGAGATAACGAGCACACTGCTTGAAGGTGGCAACCATCTGCTTCCCTTTGGCAGTTCTCCTCTCAGCATCCTGCATCGCATCCAGCTCCTGGTTCCACTCTATCAACAGCTTCTTGAAGAACACGAGGATCTTGTCCTCGTCGCTAAGCTCATCGAAATTCGCTTTCAAACGCTTCAGATCCTTATCTACGTCGACACCGCTCGACCCACCATCGCCACTGAGCTCGTCTTCCCTAACATCAGCTCCATTATCCTCATCTCCTCCTCCTTCTTCCCTATCCTTCCTCTTCCTCTCGCTCAGCGTTCCACTCTTCTGACGTTTCCTCAGCTCCGCGATATCGCGCAAGAAGTCGTTGGTCTGCCCCTCCATCACATCGCTATCGACCTCGAACAACCCCGCTTTCAGGACGTACTTGAGCCGATCGAGCCGTGCTTGATCATCCTCTCCGAAGAGCGTAATCGGCTGCTTGAGAAACCTCAGTCGACGGATCACTTCCTGCCTGGGAAGTACGAGGTTGTCGATGTTTCGTTCGTCGGCTAGGGATTTGGAATCGGAAGCAGCAGCCGCATCCGATGCGGAGGATTTGGAGGAGGCTGAAGCCGATGCAATCGAAGATGCAGCGGCGGAGGGATCGCCGAAGGATGATCCTCCGGCGGCCCTCCGCTGGGCCTTGAGCTCCTGCTCACGGCGTTCCTCCTCGCGAAGCTTCTGGATTTTCTTCTGCTCGATCTCGGAGCGCTTGAAGACCTTCCGACCACCAGTTTCCTCGGCCAGGCTCTGCCGTTTCTTCAGAAGCTCTTGCTTGAGCAGATCCATCTGTTTGATCTCGGAGCGCTTGAGGATTTGATTCCGTCTGAAACTTGCCGACGGACGGATGACGGCCGAATATATAAATATAACCTTATAATGATAAAAAAAATTGGTCATCCAAAAATGGGCCTAAGGCCCAATTCAATAGAGTGGGCTTCAGTAGGTTTGTAGGGCTTTTATGGGCATCCTTTGACCTCTGTACTTTTTTTTCTTTTAATTCATTTTTTATTTAATTTTTGTCCATAAATTATAGTTTCTTTTTTAGTTAAAAAAAGAAAAATCTCATAAAAATAATCATAATCGGACTTTACAAGATGTATAAAAAATATTTTAATTTTTTATTTGATAAAAAAATAAATCAAATGTTAAAATACACAAAAAGTACGTCAATTCTTAAAATTGAAAGTAATTTTCTACGTGTCTCTATATTACTAATATTTATAAATGAAATTGCTTTAAATAAATTATGTTAAAATAACTTAGATAGAATGTGCGGTCAAAAACCTTATATGAAATTGATTTCGGATTTTTTTTTATACATTTTAACATGGGGCATTATCAAAAATACTCTTAATTTGCTATTTCTACTTCAAAACCTACTCTTGTGACCATGTGACCAATGTGACCGAAATATAGTGTGGTCACGTATCGATCTCATTGTGACGTTAAATTTATGATGTTTTAATCAAATGATTAGTAAGATATACAAGGTATGAACATAATGAATTAATGTGATCACCATAAATTTAACGTTAACATGTGATCAGGGTAGGTCTTGAGGTAGAAGTAGCATTTTAAGGGTATTTTTGATATAATACCTTTTAACATTTGTATTTATTTGTTAAATTAAAAGTTTATATATATATAAACATATATAGAGAGGGAGAACATCATATTATCTATGAGAAGGATAACAACTAACAAGAATCCAACAACTGGGAATCAAAATCTAACAGCAAGAAAAATGGAACAAATCTTTTGAGGAAATCATCCATTATATTATAGCTTCTTCCTCTAATCATACTCCAATTCATCAGGTGTGATTGGCCGTTTCAAGGGAATGACCGACTTCTTCTCCACGTCCCTCGACAATGCCTTCCTCATATCTGGAAATCCAGACACAAAAAAGGTTAAAAGAACCGAAACCACGAATGAAGAATCTCGTGACCAGCGGCCGAGCAAGAATCAAGCTCTCACCTAGCCCGTCCTCCTCTCCCGAGTAATACCGTAAAACCCGCCTATAAATCACATACCCTAGCTGCAAAAAACGAAAAACCGGCCGGTCTTACTGAATGCAGATGGCAAAAATGTTCATTTGAAACAATGCAATGATGCAGCTCCATGCTGATACAACTGCAAACAAATAGCATATTGCAGTTGCAGAATAACCCAAATCCGTTCAGAACATTACCTACCAAGAATGTTTATAAGCTTCACCTGTAATATCGAAATTACCTTTTCATACATCTTAATGGCTGGTGTGTTGGAAGCCCTCACAAAAAGATCTACGAAATATGCCTTATCGCTGCCAGGAGTTAGAAGTAGAGATCAGCAACAGCAGTCACCAACAAAATCTCCATCCACTAAAGGATATACAAATCAAATGGCTACACGGGAAATCCCCGAGTTGTCTCCACACCCGACTATATGTTTCAAGACTGCCCTATCAGTTGAAAAGAAATGGAAATCTATACAACTTCCTATCATTTCTTAGCAGCAATGTCGATCATCTGAATCATTATGATCCACCCACATCCTAAGTGTAATGGATGCTGCTCTTTTTCAATTGGCAAGAGTCCATCTTTCAGCACAAACATGAGTATACTGTACTTCGACATTTCTTTCCGATATTCAGAGAACATATCACCAAAAAAAAAATGGAACTTTTTACGCTTATGTCCATTCTTACATCTTATCACTGATCTCTTCCAGAAGGTTCATCAATTTCTTGGCGAGTTGCTGCCTGCGATATTCTGGAGAAACAGTGACAGCTGTTACATGGCCATGCCAGGATTCACCTTGCCCTTCGACTTTCCCCATAACTGAAAATCGCACAGAAGATTAGAGTCAGCCACTGTAACGACCACATGACAGGCAAAAGAAAAATAGAAAATGTTTCATGGATAAGGATTAATCCTCTTTTTAGTGTCTCATTCAGCTCTAGTTCCTGTCTTTTGATCTAAAAGAGTACATTCTGGGTCAACATAGAGAAGCCATCTTCATTGATTCGCATGTAAAAGTCAGTAACGGGAGAAAAAATATCGGAGAATCAATATCAGCAGTGATTGGACAGTGTCATTGTACATCCCAAAGGGAAGGAAGAACAAAATGAAAGCATAAACCATAGGTCCATAGGTAAAAGCACATGAAATATCTTGTATGCAATGTCAAATCTCATTCATTCTTCATGGGTATATTGGTATATAGCCTCCCATCTAGTTTCACCAGATGACCAGATTATTAAACCAGGAGCTTTGCAGAGAACCCAGTCTCCTAAGACCAAACATAACAATGGAGTAAAACTACAATTTTCTCCTACGAAAGCATCTCATCAAGTAGGAAACTTACAAAAACAAGAAACCAGAACCAAGGGAGAAGAAGAAAGAGCTTACTATAACCCATGACACGGTTGCCAGGACCTTCAGCCACATGGAAATAGTCAGGCCATCGAGCTAAGTAAGTCATGTAGAAGGACATATTGAACTGCGTATCAAAAGGAGCCTGCCCAAATCAACACGAAGCCATAGCAGGAAAAACAGACAGAACCAGAAATGAAGAAGAAGCTTACAGTCTCTGTGAGGTGGTCGAAATTCACGGAGGCAAACCGTAGAAGATCGTTACAGCAAAATCTACGTATTGTCGTCATCTCCCCCTCGCAATACCTACGAGTTTCTGTCTGATTTCTGAAAAAAAAAATTGAAACGATTTGTTGTTGATGAATCTGTCAAATTACTGAAGCAACGCAATAAACTGAGAAAACACATAAAGGGTAAACACGAATCGATGCTCAAAACACATTGACTTGTTTGAACTGTAAATCTTCACACGCATCGATGCTCAAACACCGCCATTCACGACCAAAGCATCAAACACTCAATCCAGTAACAAGTGTATCCCCACTCAATCTACCTCTACGGATTCGAAATCTTCAAATTTTGAACTTTTCGAAAGAAAAAAAAATTCAGAAACAAGATAGGTGAGGCACACATAAGATACAGCCCTTCAAGTTCAACGAACTCAACACCCGATACTTCTACCTTCAAATCTTCGATCTTCGACACTTTAACAGAGCGAGATCGAGGATAATCCAACACTCACAGACCTGAAATTCAGTGAGAATAAAGCACTCCGACGAAGGAAAGAGACAAAGCCGGCGATTTTTTTCAAGAATATTAGTTTCAGTTTAATGGGCCCATCATATTGAGACAAGCCCAAAAGTACTATGGCATAATTATTTGGGCCTAATTTTGCTGCGACGAAGGCCCAGTAAGTTTCATAATGTGACCTGGATGCCAGGAGGGATAAGAGTTTTTTTTAAATTTTAGACAACAAAAAAATATCTAAGATGTTCGTACAGTTAGCGCCATCGGCGTCTCCTTCGCCGGCGTTCGCCGGCAACTTTGTCCACCGCCGTAGCTTCCGAAAATTTCCTGCCACCGTTGTTGCTTCTCTTTCCACTTCCAGTCCCTCTCCTCCGTCTATTCAGGCAAGAATCATCGTATCCTCGTACTTCGTGCTCTTTCGATGCTCTACTTGTTATCTGGAATTTGCGCTTTTTTGGATTGGTCCGGAAATGTAATTTTAGGGTTTCATGCTCTCGGTTACGATGTTAATCTTTGTTTTAGAGTTGTTTCTCGAGGTTTATGGTCTAAGTAGTTGGCCAATTGTGGAAAATCGGCAGATTATTGGAGGAAAGAACTTGAATTTGGATGGGAGTCCAAGGGCCGATTACGTTGGTATGGTGGGGGCAGATGAAGGAGAAGTTGATTGGATTGAACTAGAAGCTGATCTTCATTACTGGACTCGACCATTACGCCCTGTTCAGGTGTTCATTACGAATTTTTATCATCATATTTTTGCTGTAGAAAAGGAAATATCAGGGCTTTCAATGTTGATCATTCGGTGTTTTTGCGTTTCCTTATGGACATGGATTGTCTGTTCACCGGGTGGCTGCCAATTTTTCAGTGGTATCCAGGTCACATTATGAAAACCGAAAAGGAACTAAAGGAACAGCTCAAGCTGATGGATGTTGTAATTGAAGTCCGAGATGCTAGAATTCCTTTGTCTACAACGCATCCGCTGGTAAGTGGTTCATATTGTGATTTTGTTTGCTAAGGGTAGATGTGGATTCGGTTTTACACTCTAGCTATGTTGAAAGGTTCAAACATTGCTCTGTCTCAAGAAAGCTTACATCTTTATACTGTAAACTAGTAATTACTTTTTGTTATTCGATATTTCTTGTTTCGGTAATCGGCTATGATTATATAAGGCATGGGATTTTCACATGCAGAAAATTGGAAGAAAAAAAAAAGTCTCAAGTTTTTGCGAGTGGGACACCAGAAAATTTTGTCTTAATTCTTGGCAAAGTACATGTACTTTCCTGTGAATTTACATAATTGGATTTTGAATTAGTGTAGTCTTTTTCTTTACACGACAATGGGGCATTCTGCAGATGGATGCATGGCTTGGCAATAGGAAACGGATATTAGTATTAAATAGAGAAGATATGATATCCACTGAAGACCGAAATGCTTGGGCAAGGTATTTTGCAAAGCAAGGAACGAAGGTGGTCTTCACCAATGGCCAACGTGGAATGGTAAAGTTCTCAAAGTTTCAACTTTCCTTTAGATTTATCTGAGCTCTCAAATTTTCATATTCCCCTTGGTAGTTCTCAAAGTTGCACCTTTCCTTGAAATATATCCGAGTTCTAAAATTTCCATCTTTCTATTAGTTTTATGATTTTATCCTTCTTGGATCTGTTGGTTAATCCATGCTGATGGTTACAGGGAACTATGAAGCTAAGCCGCTTAGCAAAGGCATTAGCAGTAGGCGTAAATGTGAAACGGCGAGCAAAAGGGCTTCTGCCTAGGCCAGTGAGTAAACATGCATGATGATTCGATTATCTCACTACTCTTTTGATACTTTTGTCTTCTATTGGTTGCTGTATGCTCTTAAGAATGATGTTCACATCCTCCATTTCAGTAGTATGCCAAGGATTTCATAACGATTACAATTTTTGCCTGCCGTTAGCTTATACTGAGATATATAATGCTGAGCGTTGATCTTCACTGAACTGTTATTAATCATATGCAATCCAACAACATTCTTGGTTCTTGGTATCCATTGATGTATTACCTCTTTTACTTCATTAATGGTTATAAGATCCTCTCAGTGACACAACTAGAAGTTGTAATTCTGTGGCATGTTCTCTGTGAAATCTTTTTCGGCTGCTCTACGAAGTTCATAGCATAATGTGCATATCAGTTAAATGGATAGCATGCACAGCAACAAAGTATCAAACTTATTTTTGCTATCTCATTAACTCATTCAGGTTCGGGCTGGAATAGTTGGTTATCCAAATGTCGGAAAATCATCTTTGATCAACCGTCTGTTGAAGCGCAGAATGTGCCCAGCAGCTCCAAGGCCAGGTGTAACAAGAGAATTGAAGTATGTTTCTTTAGCTGCTTTAACTTGTCTTTATAATTCAATTCTTCATCTTTACGATATCATCTGAAGCTGTCACTGCTCTTTACTTGTTCTGTTTTCTTTGGGAAGATGGATCAAACTCGGGAAAGATCTTGAGCTACTGGACTCCCCTGGAATAATTCCAATGCGCATCAGTGATCAAGCATCTGCCATAAAGCTTGCGATCTGCGATGACATTGGGGAGAGATCTTACGATGTTACAGATGTTGCTGGAATTCTGGTACAAATGTTAGCCCGGATTCCAGAAATAGGTCAGAGTTATGTTACCATCTCCAGTATTCTTTTCTTTCTCGCGTACTTTATTCGGAGTAAAACTTAAAAAACTCTCTTTTCTTCTTGATGAAGGGTCAAAGGCCCTCCAAAGCCGATACAAGATTGACTTAGATGGCAGCTGTGGTAAAACGTAAGTTCATTCGAATCCTCTCAACCTTTTCGAGCCCAAGAAATCATTTCACGTTCTTTCTCGCAGATTTGTGCAGAAGGTGGGTCTTCATTTGTTCGGAGGAGATACCCATCAAGCTGCATTCAGAATACTGACCGATTTTCGCAAAGGGAAATTTGGTTGGGTCGCGTTGGAGAGACCTCCACAGTAGATACGACTTGTGTCGGAGATGTTTGGCCAAGCCTATGAGCAGATATATTGATTCCCGCCGGCGATCTGAAAGCCCTAAAATCTAGGATTCTTAGATGATGTTGGCGACATTGCGGATCGTTCTGGTCTGACTAATAGGCCTCACATGCCTTAACGTGTATAGCAAATGTTCTTTGTAAATCCTTGGGGAGCATCAAGGTGCTATAAAAACATAAACTTTAAACTGCTTATGAGGAAAAAAACACTCAAAACCTTTGAAAGGTGAAGCTTTGAAGTATACCCAAATGATGTTGTCTTGAAAAGTTTAGGTTTTAAGAAATACGTTTTGGAAAGATCATGTATCTTGGGGGTTTTCTTTGTTCTGTAAGTATGATGAATTTGGGTTCTTTACCATTTTTTTTTCTGTTTCTTGCTGGTAAAAAGATAAAGCTGATTCTCAGCCGTTGGATTCGAAAGTGGGCCCCTTTAAACATCCCATCCCCAGAAATAGCAACTCCTTTTTTACGTGGACACAGAGTCGTCGACAAAGTCCACTATTGAGATCTGTCTTTGTCCATTAAATTGATTTTAGATAGTTTTCTCACTGAGTTGGAAATCTGAACGTTGCGCCGAACTTCATTATCCTTTTTAAAATCCACCTTCAGCAGCCCCTCTCTTCAATGAACTAGCCGTTACATCTCTCTCTCTCTCTCTCTCTCTCTCTCTCTAGCGATGGCAGCCTCAGTTGAAACACCATCACCTCATCTTCCCAAAGAGGTAGATTTCCTAGTTTCCTCTGTTCTTCTAGTAAAATAAATCGTGGGTTTGGTTTTACTTGGTCTGAAATTCGAGTTTTTGGGGCAAGAATTTTGAAAAGTTTTGATTTTGTCGCAGAAAGGAGCAAGCTTTATGGCTACTACTACTACTACTACAGCTTGTGCTTCAGTTTCATCTCCTTTGCTCAGTCCATCTTCAGACAAGCGTCTCTGGAGCAATCTGCGTAACAGGATCGATGTTCTTCTCGAAGAACGGAGCACGGAGATCCCCAATGCCAATTTATCCGTAACATCTCTTTTATCCATCTGAATCTGATGACGATTAGGAGGAATTTTTCTTTTTGTTGCCCGTTTGATGCCTTTCGCTGTTTGATGATAGAATGCTGGTGAACCGGAGAGAGCTAAGAGGTTGAAGGAGGATTCCATGCTTCTGCTTAAAGGGTTCGATTCTGTATCTCACACTCTGTCTCAGCTTTCCAACAATCTGGAAAATGCACTTCAGGTGAATCAAAGATCTAAAACCAGATTCGTGAATACCCTATCCCTTGATCTGTGATGATGATACAGATAGTATCTGTGTGTGTATCAGGGAGTGAGAGAATTAGCTAAGCCACCAACGTTAACAGAGATACTCCACTCCAATCTGAAAGAGGAACAGATTCGAGGGGAAGAGGTAGAAGAAGGTAATAGCAAGGGGCAGAAGAGGAAACACGAGGCTGATGTTGATCAAAGAGAAGACTCATCCAATGAGGAAGAGAGACCGAAAGAGAACAAAGTCATGAAGAAGGCCAAGAACGTGGGATTTTGTCTCTGTCTCTGCTTGGTTTTCGGTTTTTGGTTTTGGTTTCTTGATGGTTATTGAAATTCCGTAACAACGTTTCTCTTGCAGGTAGCTATTTCAATGGCCGCAAAGGCGGCTTCCCTCGCAAGAGAGCTCAAGTCCATAAAATCAGATTTGTGTTTCATGCAAGAACGATGCGGTTTGCTCGAGGAAGAAAACCGAAGGCTGAGAGACGGGTTTGTGAAAGGGGTCAGACCAGAAGAAGATGATCTGGTTAGTATCTTGTCCCACTTCACATGACCCAGTTAATGAATCCATCTGAACAAAGAATTTATCAGTTCAACTTCAGCCATTTGAGTTGAAAGCCCTAAACTTTTGATGATTCTTGATCTTTGGTGGAGCTCAGGTGAGGCTGCAATTAGAGGCACTGCTCGCTGAGAAATCGAGATTAGCTAACGAGAACGCAAACTTAGCGAGGGAGAATCAGTGCCTTCAGAAACTGGTGGAGTACCACCAGATAACTTCTCAGGATCTTTCTGCATCATATGAACAAGTCATTCAAAGTCTAGGCTTAGACTTCCCGTCCCCAGTTCCCGAAATCGACGGAGAAGAAGAAGACGTTCAGACAAGTTCAGGATCACCAAAGACAAGCATCTTTGATGTCTCGAAAACCCTCGACGAATTCTTCGAGGAAGAACAGTAGAAAGTTTCTGGGCAATGCGATGAAATGGTCTGTAATAAGTTTTAACATTCCACAGTCTAATGTAATAATAAGCATACTCATTTGGTTACAGATGAGAGGATGTATCATAAGATTGGTTATTTCTTGATTTGGTTACAGAAAAAGAGAAGAATATGTTTATATAACTGCAGGTATTGATTCATATTCTATATTTTGGATCATTTCAAGAACTGTCTATTGGGTTAGGAGATCGACCTGGAGATGACGTCATCTGTCCAGGATTCGTGGACGGAGGAGTGAATCCAAGAACCTCCGTTGTCATCGGAGGGTATCAGTAGGAGGACAACTTGTTTCAGTTCGATTTGGCGGCCTTCAGTTCCACGTTGTTGGGAACGTATGACCAATTGGGCGTGCTTGGACAAACAAACAGATGATCTTCTGTCTTGTTGGTATATTAATTATATGATCATGTGGTTAATTAGAAACTGAGAGTTTTGTTTGCTTGTGTGTATATGTTGTGTTATGGAGTTTTGTTTACTTTATAGAATTCTCAATTTAAACCATATCTATGTGTGGTTTAAATAAGAAATTGAGAGTTTTATAAATTATAAATAAAAAGTTTAAGTCCTTACAAGTAATTTGACTAGCATTCCTAATTTAAAAAAAAAACAGCTTCATGATGTTCAACACGTGTTTTTTTCTTCATTACATTGTTTTGAAGCACATTTCATTCATCAACTCTTGTTGATAAGTGCAGAACTTGGAGATAGAGATATAATGGAATGTGTATTTTTCTCGTCCATAAAAGGGCAAAACCCACATAGTTTTACATTTTCCCCCACGTTTCTTGAACCCTTCTTCATTTTTTAATATAAATAGTAAAATTCTTAAAATTTGACTAACAACAAAATTGTACTTGTCATCCAAAAGTGGAAGACATTTGGAGACATTTCTATAATCACATATTTTTTTAGACATCATTAGATTTGGCAAAAGGTAACTCTTGTATCGAATCATTAAATTTATCAAAATAATAATATTCCACATTTCAATCTTTAGTTCTATACTATAATCTATAAAATATAATAATGTAAATTATTTAAATTTATTAAAATATTACTTTGATATTCCACATTTTAATCTTTATTTTGATATAAATGTTAAGAATTTGTTAGGTTTGTAAAAATATTACCCATTTAAAATCGAATTGAACTGATTACCATTTTACCAAAAAAAAATTGAATAAAAATAATTCGAATTCTAATGCAAAATTAAGGTGTAAATATTTTATATTCCTATTTTACCATATATGAAACAAAATATATTCGCCTAAAAAGTTTTCTTTTCTACTTCTCATCCACGGAACCTACTCTATTGATTCTTCTCTCTCTTCCTCTCCTCACATTCCCCCTAATCTTTCTCTCTCTCCCCCTCTTGCTTTCCCCCTCTTCATTTTGAGTTTCTGAATTCTTGAGAAAATGGGTACGAAGTAGGGGTGGATGTTTCGGTTCGCGTCACCATCCTCCGACTCATTTTTTCATTCATTCGGGACCCTGTCGATGCCCGAGTGCGCCAAATTCAATCAAGATGATGAAGTTATGGTTTTTTAGGATTGCAATTTTGATCAATGTGGATATGATGATCTCTTGAAATTGAGGGGATATGTCGCCACAAAACTTGAATCAGACACTGAGAATTCGTTGGTTACTCTTCACCATTTGCTCATAGCGCATACTTAAACATATGTGCAGATGTCAAATAATTTCACTGTTGAATATAATATATTTTATTTTTGAATTTATAATTCATATTTTTAAACCAAAATGTAAATTTTTAAATTATCGAAATAATGATATGATATCTTTTTTCGTAAAAGGATCTTGAACAACTTACATATTTATATTATAGTGGTTACAATATGTAACCAATAGTTGGAATGTATACGTAATGTTTTGATAAATTTTACAACTCGATAAAAGAGTTTCACTTTTAGAAAATTGAGTAGTACCTATGTGACTATCGCTAGTTTAGTAAATACATTTTTAAACAATAATAAAATTTTGGTTGATGATAGAAATCTATAATAATGTATTTGATTTCACTTCATAGTAAAATATTGATATAATGTTAAACTTATATAATCTTATCACTATTTAAAATTATATATATATATATTATATTTATTTAATTCAATCAAATTGACGAAATATAATACTAATCTTATACTCTTTCATTTGCTTCATTATAATCTAAATCATTATATTATTTCTTTTACAAACTAAGACTTGATCATCTTCATCATTAAAAAAATAAAATGTACAAAATTGATGCACTTCTAATTTAAATAAATATGAATTGTGGTATCATTTAATTGGGTTTTTCATTTATAATTCAATCCGTATTTTGTTAAATTTGTTTCTTATTATTATCATCATTCCGATTAGGTTTATGTGATATTCGATGACATGTTTTAAACTCTTGAATTATACGACGTAAAAGTTGACTTAGTTCTCCATATATGATAAATATATCATTGTCTCGTACATCATCTATCGTAAGAGTTTAAGTGTCTAATAAAGTGAGATTTATCATGTCTAAACTTTGATAGGACTCAATTCAACTAATCTTTCATTTAAAATATACATTTCAAAATCTAATTCAATAAATTTCTAAAAGATATTCAAAACATTATTTACAGTTTATTATCTTGACGATAAATGCTAATCATAATACCAAAGTATATATATATATATATATAACAAATATCATAACATATAAAATATTGATTAAGGTTCTTTTCTTTTTGCTAGATTGGCTGGTTTTGATAATCACAATACATACGTGGGGATTATGTAAATAATTATAAAAATGGAGGCATTTACGGTGAATCCGCTCTTCTTCTTCTTTAATAGCACGAACCATTTTTTTACTCCTGTGCGGACATTTTACTCAAATGACATATTTGGGTTGAATGAATTGCACGAATACATCACCAAAAAAATGAATTTTTTTAACAATTTATACAATTTTCGCTGAAAAAGTCCGAAAGATCATTTCTTTCACTTTTTTGCAACATTTATTGCGGCTAACATATAACTAGAATACGGCTAAAATAAGAAGTATTTATCGTATGGCAGGTGAAAGTCCAAAAAAACGTAGTTATTTTTTAAATTTGACAGATGAATTTTTTGTCACCTCATTTAAAATCAATTATAATTGTATTTAGAATTAATTATGATATATGAATGTTTTTAGAATAAACAAATTATACAGAATTATTAAGGGTAATATGGTCTTTTCGGAGAGAATTTAATACGTTAAAGTTTTTTGTGGTGTATCCGTGAAATTCATGCGATCAAGTGAGGAAGATGTCCTTGCTGTGCTTCTTCCTTCTGTGGAAAGCGTTTGTCGTCGTGCTCTCCTTTCGTCTTCCTCTTCTTCTCGCCATGAAGCTCGTCAGGTAGAGTTTTAATCTGTTGCTTCTTCATCCTGTTTTTTTTTTTGTGTCCCGTAAATTAACATGGGTTTCGAGATTTTGACTTAAGTTCTGCTTGTCGTGGTTTGCGCTTGGATCGCTGTCACAGGTTTCTGATGAAACTAAACAACGAGACGGTTTCGACCGAACTCAAGAACGAAAGTGTTGTCCATGGAACCATTTCAGGTACCTTTTTCTCGATTTTAATCTTCTTCTCTTATTTTCATGTTGAGTTCCCTCCATCTTGTTGTCGTTAGGGTTTAGGGTTTAGAGCTCTATCTGTCTTTAGAACCATTATATTTGTAGTTTTCTATCTGTCTTTAGAACCATTATATTTGTAGTTTTCAATTCCATATATTTGTATTGTGGGTTTCTCGTATTTGATTTGGTCATAAATATCTCTTGAAATTTCTCAAATCTCATTCAGTAATGAACTAATGATGTTTAGGGACACGTGTACTATCTTATGGCAAGTTGAAGTTATCTACTATAACCTCCACAACTCGCCAGTTAACAGATTCTTCCAGTTTCCGTCTGAGATGAACCCCAATTCATCAGTGATATAACTCAGTTTGCTGTCTGTGTCTGCTTTCTCTTGTCCTTTTTCGGCCGATTAGTTTATGGAAAATGTTTCTCGAATCTAGAAGAACCAAGTGATCCAAGCTTATGGGACAATTCAGCAGGTGCAGATGTTAGTACGAACACTTAAGTGTGAGGGGAAACAACATTCGCTATTATATTCTTCCCGATAGCTTGAACCTCGAGACTTTACTGGTCGAGGACACTCCAAGAATCAAACCGAAAAAGCCGACCACAGGTATCAGATCTACTTTCTTATTCTTGTATACTCTGCAAGTAGAGCAGTTAATGTATATACCATATGCATCTGCTCTAATGCCTTCCATCTTTTTGTACCCTTCACTGGTTTCAGGGAAGACGGTGGGACGAGGACATGGCCGGGGCCATGGTCGAGGCCGAGGCCGTGGCCGTGGTGGTCGTTGAACATGTAGTAGTTGCGGTTCCAATTTTTTACAAAAATGAACAGCAAAGATGGTTTTTGCAATTGCCATTTCTTATTTACAAGACTTGGAAGTGGACATGATGATGATGATGATGATGATGATGATGACGACGACGACGACGAGGATGACGATGACGACGAGGATGATGACGACGATGATGATGGCGACGATGACGACGATGATGATGATGACGACGATGACGACGAGGATGATGACGATGATGGTGGTGGTGGTGGGGGGGTGGTGGTGGTGGTGATGGCGATAATGATGTTAGATTTAAACCAAGATAAGGCCCTCCATAACAGCTACAGCTTTGCCTCGGAGGAAGACTCTCTTCGTTTCCTTGTCCAAATGAATCCTCAGTGTTCCGCTTCTATGCGACACCTGAACACGAAATTTCCACAACCCGAGTCACAGTCAGTAGGGTATGTAGCCCATGGCATTGCTCTTATCATCAATTTTTTTACAGTCCCAACTATGAGAAAAAAGAGTTTGATACTGCATTCTGTGATGAATCTTGGAAACTGGATTCATTCTCCATTACCTCAGTTAAAGTTGGAGACTTTCTCTAGGCACCACTTAACAATTAACATAGCTTGAAAAAGGTGTTGTTTACAGAGAGAGAGAGAGGGACCTGTTCAGCTAGGAAATCACACTTGTTCAGCTTGAGGCTCCAGTAATGTGTCAATGCACAATGCGCACTTCCGCAAACAGGATCCTGAAGGAACAAATGCCGAGCAAAAGAAACAACAGCATTATGGTGTCTGTCTGCTCTATCTCTTAGAGCTAAACCTCACATGATATTCAATAGTTTTTTGCTCCTGAAAATGCAGCTACTGTTACCTCATCAATCCCTAATTGTGGGGCAAAGAATCGAGAACAGAAATCGTAGGCAGATCCTGTAGGAGCCGCAGCTGTCACAATTATCCCTAGGGCAGGGCATTTCACTATCTCATCCATTCTTGGCTGCAGTTCCATGACAGATTCCCATGATGGAAGCTCCACCTGGAAACAAATGCATAGGATATCAATGTGAACTAATAATGATTGAGTCAGCATTCAAATTAAAAACAAAAGGGTTTAAAAGTGTTTCTAAAATGCATACGATGAGTCTGTCTGATGCACTTCGTTTGACATCAACAATGGTGGCTCCATTCAAGGCTTTGGACAACATGGAGACATCACTGGAATTGTCTTCACATGTCTGAATTAAAGGGAAGTCCAATTCGATAAAGAAGGATTCTTTAGCTTCACCACCATTGAACTCTAAGGCGTCTGGAACTCTTTTAGCTGTTAGAATGCCAGAAATGGTGGCGAATTCGACTATATCAGAATCGACCAGTCCATTTGAGAAGAGAGTGTGGGCAGATGCTAAAGTTGCATGGCCACAGAGATCCACCTGCAAACAAATTTGTATTTAGTTAAAGAGTTCATGTTCAAGACCGCATCTAGAAATTTAAAGCTCTGATTTTGACAGATTAAGCACAACTAACAATCCCATAATCCAACGGGAAAGCTGCTGATAACTTGTGGAACTGTCATAACTCCATTGCAAGAATCTCACTGGTCAAGTATTACAACTACGAAGTTAATGTGCATTAAGGTAACCAGAAGCAAAGGACATGTTTCAATATTTCTTAAATCATGAATATGATAGAGATTTGGAATGCTCAAGGATGCAATTATATGGTAATGATCAAGTAAACAGAGACTAATTCATCAACACAAGAACAGAATCACACCAGGAGCCAGATCTATAAACATCTCAGAGTGTGAATGAAGAACTGGAAGAGGGGATTTTCAGACATCAGCACTGAAATCGAAAGTACGCCAGTGAACCAAACCCACCAGAGAAAAAACCCCAATAATCAGAAGAGTAATCGGAA